ATATAATAAAATTCATTATACAGTCAGGCGATCGTTCCATGTCCTATGTATTTTACAAAAAATAATACCATAAATTATACACTGCACGGATCTGCGTGTCAATGAAAAACAACCTATTTTTCCCTCACGTTCTCGATAATTTGAATTCAAATCCTATAGCTTTTCGTGAATATAAATTTTTTATGTACAAATTTACACAGCGTTTTTTTAGAAAATTTTTTTTCTAACAATCACACCAGCAGTAACAATTATATAGGCCTTGCCTGACCATCGTATTCTTGCTGATGGACGAACAATTAATGCTCGTATATGACAATAAATGCCATCTTGAATCTTGGGGTGTAAAATGCAAGTGTGATACATTTACACGTTAAAATACTCTTCATGCATGGTGGTATAGTGTCTAATTCATTGACGAATCAAATGCATCGTCGTAAAGCGTTTGGGTGGTATATTACACTTTCTACAGCAAGATTCTTGGCAACAAATTCCAACCAATCACAGAGCAGAAAAAAATTTACTGCAGCGAGTTTAAGTTACCACTGCGAGTTTAGCGCCCTCTGTGCATATTTTGACCAATCAGAGGCTAGAGAACTGCAGTAAATTTCTAATCGAACTGCAGTTCAAGAACCGAATACTGAGCGATATCGCATTCTCCATAGGCGTCAACCCATTATCTGAGCGTGTTACAAAATCCCGATGGTTAATGTTTGGCTACATCCTTAGAATGGAAGAAACATCCCCTGCATATCGTGCTTTGTCATTTGCAGTTGATGGGTGCTGCCAACCAGATAGACGCGGTCGTCATAAAACCAACCTTCTAGGAGTACTTCGCAAAGACCTTCAAAAACGTAGCCTAAAACTACGAAACTTTGATGATATCCAAGTACTTCGTGAACTTGCTGCTAACAAAACTACATGGATACGTCTCCAAAATATGTTATGAGACTGATCAGAAGCTTTAAACTATTAAAGCTTTTGTAAACAGTATATATATATATATATATATATATATATACTAAGCACATTATATTTAGTTCAGAATGACACTGTCTGGTCATATACTACCCTCTTATATCTTAGATAAACATGGTAGAATACATATCAGCCTGTAATTAATAATATTTTCCCTTTCTCCCTTTGTCAATACTGGAACAGTTTTTGCTAGCTTCAGTTGAGTTCCGCCTCAAAAGCTTGTAAACAATGCAATGTATTTTAACGTTTAAAGAAGTATTTTTGCCTTTTCCGATTTTAAATATTTCAGTCTTATTAATACAAAATACTAGAAAGTGATCGGATAGTTTAAAAATTACGATGCCTGAATTTATAGATGAAAATCAAAAATTAGACAGCAGTTGTACTGACTTTTAAGACTAACTTGCAGGGTATACTGAATCTGTTATTCACCTTTAATCGAGCATGCTTAGGGAACTATGTGAAAGAGAATAAATACAATTGCTAATGATAGTATGTTATTATAATTCAGACCTTAAATCCTGAACAGAAAAAAGAGTAAAACGTGCAAAGGCCGGGTATAAATAGAAGGGAATCAATCCTGTTTGGACAGTAGGACAGCATTTGTTGAGAGCTAAGCTACACGATGCACAATCATGTCCTTTAGTCGGACACTGTAATCATTTATATAATTTAACAGAGTTAAAGTCTTACCTTGATTTATATTATGTGCAACTATTTATTTCCAGCCTTACCTATTGTGCCATGGAGTGTATCTGGCGGTTATTTGAATCTGTTCAATTCTGCGAGAGGTCGCAGGTTCGAATTCCGTCAGAGGTATTTTATTAAACAATTTCTTTATTCAATTATTTGTAGGACAACATTCGTTAAGAGCTATGCTACACAATGTATATGTTTTATGATTATCTGCAATTATTTGTTTATATATTATATGCAACTATTTGTTTCAAGCAGTACCTATAGTGTAATGCAGTGTATCTGGCTGTTATTTGATTATGTTCAACCATGAAATATGGGGTCTATGGTAATTACATAATTTCGTTATTCATTTATTTATGGAAAACTTTCGTTGAGAACTATGCTACATGATATATTATCATGTCCTTTATTCGAACTAAGCAACAGGGACCGTTATTAAGGATATAAAGGAAGGAGGAAATTCTTATTAACCATATAAGATTATATAATAACTGACGCCAATTCCAGTAAACGCACATTACATTAAGCACATTGAAGGAAAACGAGAATCTGATAATTAATAGAACAGGTTAAATCATTAATTATTTACTATCTATACTTAGTGATGCTAACACAAATTGCAGTAGTGCAATAACAAGATTAATTATCTTAAATTTTAATATTTGTTCAAGTTCAACATGTGTTAATAAGCCCAAAATTCAAAGTATTCTTAAAATAGCGACAGAACGTTGCCTTTAACTTAATTAATTAAACACCTGA